CGGTAGCGACTTAATCTCTACGGGATGTCTCATTGTCCGATATATACACGGCGAATTCTTTAATGCAATTACATTTGTCTTTCATTGTTAGCCAAACTGGTCATTTTAATTTTTAACGTCCATGCATTTATATCAAATCAAATTTTGGTTTATCAAACTTTGTTAGAGAATAAATATAAAATATAATCTCTCTTATTATAGAGTTGTAATTCTGATTCGCAATTCTCTCTCTATTTTAATAATTTCTCATCAATTAGAGAGAAAATTTTTAGAGAGAAAAATTGAAGAAAAATCGAGTTACTATAAGCTTTGTATGTATCAATCTTCTAATTAAAAAACAAATAATAGTAATCACTATAAAAAATACATACTATTAAACTAATGATATTACTTTTAAAAAAGTCATTCATATAATATATTGAAAAAATACATATTTTCTTTAGAATTTATAAAGTAATATTCAAAAAATAACTTTAACACTTTGTACACGAGTTTCTATCAGGTTTCATTTATGCAGAGGAAGAAGTAATTTTACACCTGTCGGGAAAAAACGCGCCCAAGAGTCAACGTAAATAACTCGTAAACATTTCGTAAATGGTATAGTAGTCGCGACGCGAAGTGGTCGCTAACTATCGTGTTTCATTAATGCCTTCTCTTATTCCATTAACGTCGGAGGAGATCGAGCGCGTGCGTCTCATTCCGTCTGTCGTCGTCGCGATTGCTCGTTAACTCTTAAGGACAGGTGGGACCGATGCGTTCACCCGATTGTCATTTTTCACGTTCGCAAAGCGATAAGAAAAAAATTTGCAAGCCTGCGACACCGATCTCGTCATCCTCCAATGCCCGCGTGGAATTTGTCGCCGCTGGCTTTCTACTTTTCCGCGTCGAGAACGTTTAAGGTAAGTCAAATCGGATCGTACTTACTAGTGTCTCTTACTCGTGCCAGCGATTTCTATCGCGTTAAACGAGCAACAATGAGACTTTAGCGTTCAATACAGAAAGCGATTTCTACTACGCGTTAATCTACTTTCATCTCAAATTCCTAGCAATATAAAGCGCATTTTTCTATTTTTTTGAAATTTGTCAATTTTGAATCTTTGAAATACATGTATTAATCTTGCGCAAAACATGAAGAAACATTTAATTATGATTAATTAAAAATAAAATATGAGGATTTTAATCGAAATATCTATTCCCAACATCCAATATTATATATTATAAATTCTATATAACAGATATATGTACTACTTTTTTGTAAATTCAATTTATATATATATATATATATTTGTACATTTTTTGTTTCTGAGAAATCTCTGGAGTTTTTAATTGTATCGAAATTTCTTCCAATGAAGATTTCTTCAAGACTTAAAAATATTATATTTCTTAAAGAAAAAAAATATTTTTTATAATAGAAGATGATTCCATTTGGAAATTAATAAAATGAACAAATTACTTTTATGGTATAAATGTATGTTTTATATTAATGTATGTTTTAATTATATGGTTTAAATGTATACTACGTACTTGTATCTTTTTTGTGTCTGAAAAATCCCTGGTATTTTATTTCGACATTTAATTGTATCCAAATTTTTCGAAACGAATCCAAGGCTTAAAACCGTCGCGGTTTTTAAGAATGCAAAATGCATTTTAAATAACGAAACATGGTTCCGTTTCGAGATTAATGAACGAACTCGAGGAATAAAAGCAACCGGGATATGGATGAAATTCCTCTCGCAAATACAACGTTATTCCCGCGCGCTTTCAGGAGCCGCGTCTCTCTCTCTCGAGGGAGGCACGCAACCCCGCCGTTCGTCACGTTCGGCGTGATAAATCGAGCGCGGAAGGTCGTCATGTGCAAGTCAAGCGGCAGATTCATCCGGCAGCGGTCCACTACCAAGCGGCAGCTACTGCAAAGTGGGGGCCAGTGGTCTCGACGACGCCGGGATCGCTGGCGGAGAGGTGGAAGCGCATTGAACCGCCGCCGGCAGCAAATTGGACCACCTTCAAAAACTCACCGCTCGTTACGCACCGACGCGACGAGATGCGACGAGACGCGACGATGTCGGCGCGTACTACTAATCGACGATTACGAGGCGTTCACGCGTGAGCGTATAAAGAAGGGCTCTCCTTCTTTCTCTCTCTCTCTCTCTCTCTCTTTTTCTCTCGCGACTACGCGATACACGCGACGGCGCTCGACGCGAGCCGGCGCGATGCGACGCGGACTCGCGACTTACGTGGCGGGTTAAATATAAGCGCGACGAGGCGCGCGTCCGACGAAATCGTGCTCTCGAGAGGAGCCTCTCCTTCACGTAGGTGTTCGCAGTCGCGAGATAATCTAACCGCTACTTTTCGCAATTACCATGTCTTTGAAATCCTGAAATTCGACGGAGTAAGGGATTTAATCAGAGACGTCCCCTATAACGTCATCGCGATGCTTCTTTTATATCTTTCTAGTAACGTTATGATTTTCCGAGAGAAATTGGAATTTTATGAAATGATGTTATATAAAGTATGCATGTCAAAAGGATGTTATATATAGTATGCATATCAAATTGATGTTATATATAGTATACGTATCAAAATACACTGGATGATATATATTAAGAGTTCTAATATAGATATTTCATCAAGGGATTGTCAAGAGCTTCTCGAGCACGAAGATAGAAAAATAGAGTGCGTAATAAATTCTATCCGTTAGATCTTTCAATCTGGCTTTTGGTAAATTTTCGATAACTCCAGTATCGAGTAAAAATTAAATAAAAATAGTGGATAGTGTACAATATATATATATATATATATATATATATATATATATATATATATAAAATTAAAACTTATCGTGATGATGCCGCGAAGATAACAATTTTATATTAAACATAAATAGAAACTATTCGAATCGACGATAAATATATTTATTAAATTTAACTAATAAATATATTTATTCGCTGATAAATATATCGTCAAAGTAAATTTTATTTATATTAATGTTTGTTTATTACAAATTCTATTCCAGATTATCCTTGTAAACTTCTGTATTAATTGTATAGAACACTAGAACAGGGGCAAATGTGTGTTAGAGTGGCTGTGCACATCACTCAATATCGAAATAAAGGATATTATTTGGAATTTGGTTTTCATTAATATTTCTACATTAATCACAACAATATTATTGGCGTTCAATTGGAAGAGTTGTTGATGTTTATCCGGGAACTGATGGTAAAATCCGAATGATTATTGTTAATACCTGTCAATAGACTATAAACGATCGATGCGAGATATTAATTTTACGGGACATAAACGTTTTTATATTATAAAAAAAGCTATGGTCTATATTAAATTCTCTTTTGGAAAAAACCTAGTTTCTAAATGAACAGTCTCGTAAAGTAATACTTGATGACGCTGTGAGAAACTCTCAGTTGTAGTGCTTAGTACACTAATTAGAAAACCTTCGCACTGCAAAGTATATTAAAATTCTTATTCGTAACACAGAATTAAATACTGTAATTTTGCTTAACAAAATTGTCGCGTTCAAATTTGTAGAATTATTACAAATGAATTTATACTATGTGTATATTTTATATATTAATATAAATATAATTTAACAAACGTTTTCAATTTATAAAAAATTTCTCACTGTTATATTAACGCTAATTCAAAGTGCGATATATTTTATCAAAAATTGGAAAAAAACAATTTTCATTAACAATATTTTAATTATAATCAAAGATATATAATTATTAGCATAATAGTTTTCTCTATTCTTCAAATTCAATTAATTTCAAACATTATTTTAGCGGAATCAGAAGTTATTTTTAATTATTTAAAAGGTAATTTTTAATTATTTAAAAATTTTTTTAAATAGATAATTTCGAAACATTGTGTGTGTGATAAAAGAAGTTACGTTTCAGGCGATTCTTACAACAAATGAGCGATCTGTAAAATACAACGATAAATGAAATCGCTAAACATTTCGGCGTGCGAAAAAATTAATATATTTAAGTGTGTTTAAATCGCAAAAACAAAATGAGAACATAATATCTAGTATCTGTTAATTATTCGTCGCAGAGCGCGAATGGTTGAATCGATTTGTGATGACTCGAGGGCATGATCGAGCTCGACACACCCGGGGCTGATAGTTTTTTAGTTGAAACCCGTCGCCTGATGCAGAATTCTCGATCAATTCCGGGATATAACGCGGCAATATTGTTAATACAAGGGCGCGCGTACATATTTCCCTTTTACAGATAGCCCGGCAATATATATATATATATATATATATATATATATATATATATATATATATGGCAGCTATAACTTATGTAAACACGCACGTGAATATTTTAATTTATGTGCGATGTAGTCCGGCTGTGCAATATGTATAGAGTGGAGTATATCTTTTAATCTTTAAATAATAACTTTTATATTATAAAACATATTTATATTTTTTATCAAAGCAAGGACTTTTATGAAATATTGCGGCGTTTATTATATATGTGTGTTCTGTTGTGATTAATGCGTGTATTAATAAAATTCGTGTGCACATTTTGTATAGTCACTCTAACACATTCGCTCTGGAAACTAATGTAAAAATTAAATTTATAGGGTTAGCCAAATATAATGAAATTTAATAAACAAACATTTATAATATATAAAAATTGCTAGAGTAAAATAAAATTTTGCTTTAGCAATTCTTATTAAAGAAATTCTTATTAATATAGAAATTCTTATTAATTTTGCGACAAGCGGTTTCGATCGAAGATTTGAATTAAAAATCTCTCTTTGAATAATAATCATGCGAAAAGACAAATAAATTTTTAGCTTGAAACGTCAGAAATATTTTCCTCCAAATTATTCCTTTTACTATTATCCTTTTTATTGATCATAGGAATTTAGAATATATGCATTTCTCGCGATCTTCAAACCTTCGATTATCGCTCTCATCGACATGCGACCGATCGATTCTCTGGGAACGACGTATCGCATAATTTTCTGAGGCTCACCGTAATCTGGTCGAACGACAGCCTGGACGGCCTGCTCGTTTTTCCTGTTCCGAACCACCGGCGGGCCGAGGATCGTGAAATTCCTGGGTCCCACGCGGTTCACAAACACTAGATACACTTTGCCCCTTTTAATATTGGCTCGCACCACACCACTCGGATTATCGCGCTGCTGCTGTTGCTGCTGTTGCTTGCCGGTCTCGTGGCCGTTGCACACGGTCGACTTGCCGGGAGCCGATTTGTCGCGAAAGTGCAGTCGCACGCTGTCGTTCTTCTGCAGCGGCTGGAAGCCCGGCTGGCTCTTGAAGACCTGCTTCACCTCGAAGGTCACCGCGTAGTTGGAGCCGGGCTTCCTCAGCGAGGACATGCTGCGGACTTTACCTTCGAACACGGTGGGCGCCAGGTAGGCCCGATTGCCAATGTCCATGTCGGGGCACCAATTCTGACCGCGGCAGCTCCGTTCCTTGTTCCTGCATCGACGTCGCTGCTCGCGCGGCGAGTCCGCCTTGACGCGGTTCTTTGGTCGTTGCTTGACCGATCTAGCGATTCGCGGCCGCTCCATCGACGATTCCGCCGGTGTCGACGCCACGAACGGCGTAAAGGGTGCCTGCGTCGAGGAGTGACGGGGCGCGCGAGTCAGACCGGACTCGTTTATCTCCGGGTGAAAGGCGCGGGGGACACGCTCATCTGTCCCCTTCGCGGGATCCACCGTTTGCGTGGGATTCGACGTGACCGAGGTCCCGAGATCCGTCTCGCGCGACGACTCTTCGTGGATCTGTCGCACGTCATCCTCCGGAGAACGTTCTATCCGCTTGGAGGAGAATCCTTCTTCCTGGTCCACTGGCCTCGGCTCGATCAACGGGACCTTGTCAAGGTCGCGACGAGCAGGACGAACGTCGGACGACGAGTAGCGACGGTGCTCCGTGATTTCGCGCGCGTCCCCGTCCACGACGCTCATCGACGGTGGACGATAATGCCTCGTCTCGGTGATGCTGCTCGTCGTCGCCCCGAGGGTGTCCCGAATGGCGGGGGGTGCCGCAGCGAGCGCCAGTGCGCCCCACCAGCCGCTTAAGAACCCGGCCAAAAGCAGAGGCGCCCACATCATCCAACCTGGTTAGCGGTATGATTCGGGGGTGAGGTCGACGCCTCGGTCACCCCGACTCGCACAGAGGCACGCGCTTCTCGCCTCTTCCTTCTTCTCCTCCTCCTCTTCCTCCTCCTCCTCGAGCTCGGAGAGCGAGCCCCTTTCACTTCGCTGTCAACACTTGCGAGTCCTATGTTTAACCAAGTCCTGCTTCTTCGATTCGACCTTCTCGCTGCTTCCCCGAGCGATTATTGGTCACTCGCTTGTAACAGACACGACTCGACTCCGTTATCCGTTCCCCCTCGTTCGAATAGCCACCAAAATCGGATTCTCTATCTTCTCGGCTTGCTCTTCCGGATCTTCAGGCTTCTCACGAGATGCTGTACCATCGATAATGGAACGTCGCGGCTTCTTCGACATTCGTCTTCATCCTACGCGATATCATTCTCCTCATCCTCGAAGCCGGCAAAGGTAGCAGCCATGCGGCCGCTTCTGTCTCTCTCTCTTCTTCTCTCTTTTTTTTTTCTATCTTCCTTTCTCTCCTCGAGAAGGTGTTGTATTATCGCAGATGATCCCGACCGGCGGCTGCGACGATCGCTGACGCGACAACCAGTATCGATCTTTTATAGATTCTGATCATTATGATTCGCGATCGGCACGATCATTCTGAGCCAGGACTTGAGCCAGGACGGTCTCGTCGATCACCGCAAGTTCCAAATTCCTTCCACAATTATTCCGCGCGAGATCGGATCCTGATTCTTGACGGTCGACAAATTCCGAACGACGACAAGTAAGTTTCTCTAATCCTCGTGTTCATTCGCGTTAGCAGGCAGACGGAACCGATGGATTTTGCAGAGATCACCCGCGACTATCGGAATCACGTCGATCCCCCTCCGATCCGACATCGAGTCGAATGGAATTCCGCGATTGTCTTGTCACCCTCTCGCAACTTCGCGAGTCGCGTTGCGCTCGATAAAGCGGGAAAAGCAAAATAGGGAGAGAGCCGGGAGACGAAAAGAAGGAATACGACGACGACGACGACGAAGAGAGCGTCGGCTTCCTCTCTGACCAGCCGAGACACTATTTAAATATACCCACGAGACGCCTGCTCTGCTCTCTCGGCTTTCGCGGCCGCCCGCTCGTTCGTTCGCTCTTCTACACTCTATTCACACTTACGGCACTCTTTTTTTTTTTTTCTAGCGCGCCGCTCTCGTTCACCACTCTCGCGCGCGCGCGCGCGTCCCGTCGCGTACGATCTTCCCGTACCTGGGAGCGGAGCACTTTCGCCGATAATGCAATTGTCAACCGCGCGCGCACTTATTTTCACCCGTTCCGTTCCTCGCAACTTTCACCCCCTTTTCTTCCTCTTATCTCTCTCTCGCACGCGCGCGCGAGAAACCGCTTCCTCTCGCGTAGACGGCCCCGCGGCTCCAGACGAGGCGAGATGTCGACGATGACGGGGGGATCGAGTCGCGTGTGTCGCACGCGGCATGCACACACGAGGCGCCTACCTCGCGTGTCACGAGAGCCGGAGGAAGGGAGAGAGATCGTCGGTGGCCCCGCGTCGGGCGCGCGCGACGGTTCAAATTAGACTGAGCGGCCCGCTCGCGTAGGCCGAGGCCGGCCACAGCTCCAGCGGCGCCTGGTGGATGCCGGTCGAGGCTTGCGCGCGCACCGCGCTGCGCCGAAGTGAGACGGAGCGACGACGGGATCTTTAAGAACCTGTATAACAACGACCTAACAACCGAAAGAACCGCACGCGTGATCCTCACGATCCTCCTTCTCTCTCTCTCCTTTTCCTCCTTTCCGTTTGTCGCTCTGTTGCTGCCGCTTCGCGAGTTTCTTTTCTCTCTCTCCCTCTCTCTTTCTCTCTCTGTCTCTCGCGCGTTGTGTCATCTCCTTTCCTCTTCTTCGATCTCTTTGAGACTTGGGCAGAATCAAATTGGAGTTGGAGTGTTTAGTATTCCTTTATGTAAATAAATTTTATATTGTTTTTCGGTGAAATTTCGGTGAGAGGAGCATCGAGGTGTCTTAATTACATTTTTATTTTTTTATTTTATGTTGATGTAATAAAATATGTAGGAATTTATAGCAAAGTCTAGGTGGTTTTTTAAATCACGCAATGACGGATCGTTTGAATTTTTCAGATTCAAGATCGCAATGTTCTCGCACGCGGAAAAGCGTAAAAAGAAGACGAGTGTCGCAGCGCTAATTACGATACGCGGCGCGCTTAAAGTGTCGCCATTTACCCTGGGATTAATCTGTCATGCGGCGCGCGTGAAACGTCTTTGAAGCTAGCAGCCATTATCGGCAGAATCAAATCGGACTAGTTGAAATACCTATTACTCATTTTATATTAATTTGTATTAGTAATAATATATTTTGTATTCTTGCGAGTTTGAAAAAAAAAACGATGACGTTTCATATTAAACTGACAGGAAAAAAACAAAACCAGATGAAAAGAACTAAATTTGTACTAATTTGTATTGTTAAGAATAATTACATATTTCGTGCCGAAGAAGAGGGAAAAAATTGTTGACTTGTTATATAAACTTTTGTAAAAGATAAAAAAATAATTTTACATTGCTTTTCAGTAAAATCATGAGAGTAGCATAAAACAAAGTAAATATTTATTTTAGAAAGTGAGGTGAATTGCCAAAAAATATGTTGAAATTTATCGCGAGAAATCAATGTAGTTCTTTTAATCGATCTTAAGTATAATAAATAAAAAGATATATAAGTTAAATATAAAAAGTCAAGAGCGAAAGCGCATGACATTGGTCAAAACTTGACAATAGAAAATTATAATTTGAAAGATCAACAGCTTCAATACCTCGCAACAAATATTAATAATGGAAATGATACTGACATGGAGATAAGGCAGAGAATCATGACAGTTTGCAGATGCGCGCACAAACTCCCGAGAGCAAACATCTGAGAAATCACCTCCCCAACAAGAAAACAAAGATTAATATAACATAACGTTAATGAAACATTAACCAAATTCCAATGCACGCCTACGAGACACGAGCAAAATGCGATGAAAATTTTTCATGTACCTTCGAGACAAAAATGTAAAAATGTTAAAAAAATCTGAAAAAGTACGAAACAGAATATTGATCGAATATCTTTGAAGATATTTGTCACATTTCGATCGACAATAATCCTTTGCGCGCTTCTTCTGTGTTTTCAGACCGATGCGTGACGATCCGATGCGTGACGATCCGATGATTATAGTCGGAATGTTTGCGCGGATTTCGGGATGATTAAAGCCCTCAGCGTTTGATGTCCACGCACGCGAATCGGTTAGAATCGTAATCGAAATTCGGTTCCGAGCCGCGAAGCACAAGGCATCCGCGATCATTGGTCGATCGATTCCGATCGATCGGCAAAGTACGACGGGAGCAGTGTAATCGATCGATGACGCACGCTTTGTCGAACATTGAATTATACTCGCGGACATCGCGGTTCAAGAGCCCTGGATTATACGTGCAAAACACTCGCGATTGTTCCACGGTTCGTGGGTGTATCGACTTTGGCATGGCCCCATTATCTCGCGCGAAATCTTCTGTAATCACTCTCCGAAGGCTTTTATATTATTGCCATAATCATCACATTGCGCTTCCACCTGCACTGTTTTCGATTTCGATCAACGTTGAAGTTGTAATTGAAGAAGCAAAGGAATATCAAATTCTGACCTGTCAATTTTTCATCGATATACAAGCCCTTAAATATATAGTATATATTATATATTTATATTATGTGTAATAGGGTTTATTAAAAATCCAGCCAGAATCTTCTCTCGGATTTCGAAGAAAAAAGTTTATCTAGCGAAAAGTATCGATAGTTTCGAGAGTCTAATTTATGAATAAAATATCGATGTGTTTCAATTTAACTTTAATTAACGAAAAGTATTTAGTTCTTTTGTTTGATCGAAACAATCTCTGTTTCGTGATATCTTGTCAGTTTACTCAGTTTAGAAAAAAACCGAGATAAGCAAAGCGGTGCAGCTTTGTGGCACAATTCAAGCGCGCGTTCAACGGATAAGCTGCAAGGTAGATTCTTATCGTAGTTACCGATTGCATTTTTGCAGTCAATAGCCCAATAGAGGTTCCTTCGATCGGGTAAGTTCCCATAGTGTTGCAAAGAAGGGCGCAGGTTTTACCCGTGATAAAGTTGCTCCATTTTTATCGACCATCTGTCCAACCCTTGGTGGTCGAGATTTTACATCGATTTATGGCACAATCGCACATATACATATTTTCACGAATTCTTGAAACGGCGAATGACTCAATTTGTAAATTCGTATTTTTTTTTCTTTTTTAGTTTTTCTTTACGAGCTAATACAACTACGGAAATAGAGCTCTTAAACAACGCTGATAATAATGGAAGAATGAGATACCTAATAGCAGTTTTTTTAAATTAGTTCAGACGAAAGATCGTTATCAGAACGTGTTCCAAAAATTTTCCTCTAATTAAAATAAAATATCTAATAACAGAATATTAATAAAATATCTAATTAATATCTAATAAAATATCTAATTAAAATAAATAAAAGTATGCTTCTCATATTTCATTAAGCTAACAAGATATTAAAGAATCCCGACAGGAGCTTCGGCGAAGATGCACAACAGAGTTAAATATTTCGACTAATTTCAACTAGACACAGCTTTAACAAAACTTTAGACTCAGTTAGAGAGGTATACTAAAACTTACGCGATAAATTAAGACGATTGTGGTTGAACAAGGAAACAGTAATTCAAAAGTTTGATGCCTTATTCATCGACAATACATACATATCTATCCACGTTTTGCCTCCGCGTTGCAAGTCCTGGATTTCCCAAGTAATACTGCTATGCAAATAAAAATTATTTGCATCTTTTCGAATCTGAAAAAATGACAGAAAAGAACGTATATAGAATCTGTATATGCTCTTTCAATTCAAGTTTTGCGACTAACAATAAGATAAAACATGCCCGCGACAAATCTATGTATATATAATCGAGAGTAACTCCATTCGCGTAGCTCTCCGAAACATTTTGTATAAATGATCAGCTGTTGCGCGCATTCATAGAAAAATATACTTTTGCTTACACGAAAATATACGTCTGCGAATGCGATTGCGACGAGTAGGGGGTAGTTCTTTCACAAACAGCAGCATCCAACGAATGACGCATCTCGGGTGAACGTGTCTCGGCACGGAGATTCGATTCCACTCGGGGACATTTCGCGAGACACACACAAAAGGCGGACGCGGAGGAGTGCGTTTCCCGTTGACTTGTTCTAAAAGTATCGGGAAGATGCATGCGGATACATACATAAGAGAGATGTATACTTCTCTCGTCTCTAGAGATTCGCCTCGCAGGCGAAACACGAATAAAAATGGCATGGTGCATGCCCTCGTAAGTGTCTCCATCGCGGGGGAGGATTTCCCGAGAACGCGAGCAACGAAGAAGATGAGCTTTTTATCGAAACGTCTTTTTTTTTCGATGGACGATGCGCGCGATCGTTCAGACTGCAAATGAGAATGTTATTTCAAATAGCAATAATCCGGTTTATTTTCGTTCCGAGACACGAGGCCTTCGAGATTGAAAAAAAAAACATGAGGAGGTAAAGCCTCTTCAAAGTAAAAGATTTTCAAACAGTAAGTATGTCTATTTATATAAACTTCTTTAATAAGCGTGCCTATAGTATCGGAAAACTTTTAATGTTAAATCTCTGCGCTTCTTATCGGCTTTGATATTCTAAAATGAAGGAAACAAAGGAAAAGCGTATTATTATTAAAATAATATTTTTTAAGTCTTTTGATACATAATACATAAGTTATCTCAAGAATTGAATAACATAAAACTGCTCTTCGTTTAAATGTATTAAATTTGTTTCTGAAAACTGTTGAATAAAATGTAAAATGAACAAACTGTGTAATTCTCAGAAATATTAAAAAAAAACACGTAGAAATTAAAAATTATTGATTGATACATGCAATAATTAATCCTATGATTTCTCACTGAAAAGCTGATACAATTTAATAATACTCGTTATCACTTTATATGAAACTTTCACTTTGCGTCATCAATTGAAACGCATTCGAAATTAAACTCTGTCTTGATTGGCTTTCGATCTACAGAAACATTCGCTGTAAATCGCATACAGATAGGAATTTTTAGCAAATTACGATGACATATGCGATATATTCCTCGGTGACTTCTCGTGATTCATCGGTTGAGATAATCGAATGAGTTTATTCGACAATAAATTAAGAGATCAAGACCAAGAACATATATATGTATCGTGTCTTCAAGAGCAAAATTCAAATTACATCGAGCGCGGTAAATAATCGTCAACAATCCACAAGAATATTTAACGAGAAAGAAGAATCTTAATACGCGCTCTAGAATTTCTTATACAAATACTAAGAGAAAGATAATAAGAAAAGAATAATAAGAGAAAAACAAGATCAAAAGGAATTATTAAATTTATTTAATAATGGAAAAGAATTATTAAATTAATTTAAAGGTATTAAATTTATACTAATCTGTATACCGCTAAATATAATTTTACTTAAAAAATAAAGGAACGCGATATTTTTAGAAGCAAGGAATTAGCTGTACAAAATTTCAGTAAAACAATTAGCAACAAATAGCAATTATTACCGAGAAAATAATTACTGCCCCATCGTTATAAGAACTAAGATAGATATTGAGTAAAATTGTGTAATTGTGTATCAATAAGGGCTTTATGATTATCAAAGAGGACTCAGCTGTTAAATGATCAAATATTTCACTATGTATCATGCGTGATCGAATAAAAATAATGTTATCTGGTCTTGTTCTATATTGCGAGATAAAATACTAGAATATAATAGTACAAGAATATAATAGAGTAATAGAAGAATAATAGAGAAAATATATACAATAATAGAAGAATATGACGTCATACTATGCGTAAAGATCGAAAATGCATAAGAATTATGAAATATAAATTTTTTACACTATCATAAAATATCAAGAGATGATCTTGATTTGAATTTTGACGAAAAATTTTTCGACAATTTCGACATTTCATTAATGAAATTATCGTGAAAATTTCATGAAAATTTCGTGAATCATTTAACAAGTTTAATTTTGAAGATTGCAACTCTGTATTAAATCTCGAATTTACAATACACCTTATTTGGAGGATTATTATTTATTCATTCATCGATCGCATTCATTAATCAAACAAGAAACTATGAAATTAAATATCTTGAAGAACTATGTAATTGAATATCTTGAATGTATTAAATGTATTAATATAGAAAAATTGTAGAAAGAGGAATAACACCTGTTGAAGCTTCCGCTAAGGAAAGATAGATTTAAAATTGGTCGAAAAATTTCATCACGCGTGCAATATTCTATACTTCCCCAACACGATCTAATAAATACATAAGAATAAATAAGACAAAATCTTCTTTTATCCATTCTTATCCTTTTCCTCTTTCTCTTTCCTCTACAAAAAAAGAGAAAAACGTATGAAAGATAGGAATGGGGAATCTGAAAGAGAGAAAGAGAAAGAGAGAGAGGGAGAGAGAGATAAGAAATGGCCGGTAACTAGTAGCGACTGCCGGGCAACAGATTATCGGCAAACACTTTCGATATTGGCAAATTGCTGTTGGCATCCTCCTCCCTTCTCCCGCGATCGTTTGCCCAATCCCTCCCTCCTCCCCCGCTCCCTTTTCTCATCCTTTCTCTCTTCGTCTTTGCCGTTGTGTCGCTTGGCCGAAGGAGAAGTTAAATCGAATCCGGTAACTGCAGTCTAAGAACAAACCGAGCCGGAACGGGATACAAAAGCGTGGCCGCCCTCGATACTGGCGCGGCTAACTTTCGCGAAGTTTGATGCCTCGCAAATCAATGGGCATTCGTCGGACCGCGTTAAATTACTCTCCCCCGGTTTCTCTCTACCTTTACGTCTGCGCACGATCCGGCCCGATTGGCGCAGTTTGTCCGGGGGAGGAAGGGTGTCGATTATCCATGTCGATCGTCCGGCCGCTTCGCTTCTCCGGAAACTCCGACGCAACGAAAACAACTTTAACCTTTTAACTGCGAAATTAAATATAGGAATCTGAAAAAGTGTCTTGATCTCGCTTTAGACTTCGTTTCGCTCGGTTTGCCGTGCCGTTAACGAGATTGAATTCGCGATCTCTACAATGGACTAGTATTAGTTATTATTTGGAAAAATTTTATTGATCCTTGGAACACGTATAATACATTTATATGTCGCACAAATATACATTCCCAGCGTTAAAAATAATTAATATTTCTATTCCTGAAACTTAATATTTAAGTACTTCCTCATTGATTTTTATTATATTTTATTATTTTTTAAATAAATAAATATATATATATATAATTTATTTAATATATTTCATACATTATAATATATTTAATAATATAATAATATATATTTAAATACAATAATTAATATTATAATATATTTAATTACATTATTTAAGGTAAATGTTATGTGAAGTTATAGCCATTTACCTTATTTAATAATATACTTGAATATATTATCTATTTACACATATTTTTAAACATGTGTGTGTTTATATTAATCTATATATATATATATATCTCGGACAACCACAATTCTAAAGCGTTCTGACACGACCCTTATCTGGCTTATTCGACGACATGCAACACTTTCGTAAAACTCGCGGTAACACTCTCCTGCAAAAATATTTTAGAACGAGATACTCTGCCGACCTCAAACCAGAGACATTCTCATCCTTCGTTCAATAGCGTAATATCATATGTTGAAACTTCGAAAAATATGCAAGGCATAAGAAGAAACATAATTTTTATTTTGTAAAAAAAATTAGATATTTCACTGTTTCAATTTTTTAATACAATTAATTCTTACTGTCAATAGTAATGGAAAAATTCCATTAAAAATTTTCACTAATTACGCAATATTCACCACCGACATTCTACTTTCCATTTCTTATTATTTTTTTATATAAAAACTAATAAAACTATTTTCATTAATTTTATTATCATTTTCTTCCAAAGATGAGATTTGTAGAAAGTAAAATAAAAAGAATAAGACGAACGCTTTTCTTTATATTATTCTTTATAACAGTTACAGTACTGCTTAGACTTTTTACGAAGTTTATATGCCGGAGGAAAGAACTTTGAACATACTCAGTGAGAAATCGAACTTCTGTCACGGTATCATAATATACATTGCCCGTTGGAATAATGGAACAAATGATTATTAACATCATTTGAAGGTAAAAAAATAAAATCTTATTAAAATCTTAAAATTGCATCATCCATTGATCTTACATACATATATTTTTTTTTTCAATGCTCACGTTGGCCATTAGCCGTTGATTATTAACGGAAAATACTTATTAAAGTTTATAATACTTGCGAAGATTTAACATACGATCACCGTTATTACTTTCATAATGCAAGACTTGTAAAATTCATATGCTGTCTTTCAATTTATAGCATATTTTGCCATCCAATCAAATTTTTATGATTTTTATAGAAAACAAAGAATAAGATAGAAAAATAAGGTGAAAAAGATAGATAGAGAAGGAAGGGAGAGAGACAGAGATAAATAAGCGCGTGCATCTATTTGGAGATGAAGGTTTACATAAGAAATTTTAACTCGCGAAGACGGAGCCATCCTCTAATCATCATACTTTTCCAAGATCTTATCTGATGACGTTTATGAGCATGTCAAAGGAGAAATCTCTAAGCGGAGACGCCGCGTATCTTTTCGATAGTATCGACAAACATGCTCTCTGAACTTTAATTATAAAGACAGTGATGTGAAAAACGAACAAAACAATTTTCAATTTTCAAGTTTAACAAGTTTAATATATATTATAAGAAAAGA